GTGTGGTACAGTTGGATTTTATTTGCCACCCCTGTCTGCTAGTTGGGCCTCAGGAGAAGTGACAGACCCAACTCCAGATGCTTGAGCAGAAACTTCAGTGGCCACTGAGCTTAACACCTCCTTGGCAGGGCTAAAGTCAACACCACAAATTCTTATTCTACAAGCATCTTGAGCTCCAGTTTCAAATTTCCTTGCTTTCCTGAGTTAAGGACAGACTCTTGGTGTTAAGGGACCTGGAGTTGCTTACAGTCTCGGAGGCCAGAAAACTTGCTCAAACACAGAATTACTAATTTGCGGAACCTCTGTCAGTGGTGATTTCTCATAAAATGGGCCCCAAGGTCACTGTTTCATTAAGTTGTTGTTGTAGTCTCCCTCCTACAGCTACTCTTTAATTGGAGATACCTGTAGCCGTGCCCAGTGACTGAAGTAAGATGTGCCAAAACCAGCTGGGACAATTCCGCAGTGCCCATGATGGGTGCACGCCGCGGGCAGGGGCCCTCTTGGGGAGCAGGCACACCAATGCTGCACACAGCTGGAAACTAACTCTTCGGGGGTTTAAAAAGTCACCTGGCAACCGTGAGCCTCCTCACACCCTGAGTTGCTGAAATCTGATATTTCCTGTTACTTGTGGGATATGTAGTTGAGGTTATTTCAATTAAATGCACATCTGTGCTCAGTATACTCTCCCCGCCTCTGTGTTATGTAATCATGAACTCTCCTTTTAGGTTGGGATGCTGATGGTTAGGTATGATGTAGCTACAGGCACAGCATAATGAATCTACGAGACCTGGGGCTGGGCATCTACTTGTGGGCTGCCTTTAGTTGCCTCTGGTCTTGCAGATGCATAAGAGACTAAATTCTCTCATACAGTCAACCTCTCTCTCTCTCTCCCTGTCTCCCCTCTTCCTCTCTCCCTCTATCTACACACACACACACACACACACACACACACACACACACACACTCCTCTCTTATCAGTGAAAACTTTGCCACCAAGTATGATTTCCATGTAAGAAAACAGACATTCTGCCAGCAAAGAGTTTATCTGATTTCAGGTCTCTGTTGGGGGGTTAGGTCAAGATTCCACCTACTGTTTGCCAACACGCAGTAAGATAACATTTCACATAAAGCAAGTGCTACAGGCACAACAGACAGTGGCCTTCTTGGCACCTAGCTCACAGTCCGGTGACGCGCAGCCCAGGCAAAGTGAGACTCGCTTTAGGCCATAGCTCATACTTTGGCAAGAAACAACACTCGCACGAAAGCTTTATAAAGTTTGTTTAGCTCACTTCAAATATTTTATTTTAAATAAATCATCCAAACCAAATTTAATTCTTTTCAGTTGGAAAGGGAGAAAGAAAGTCCCATGTTATTAAAAGACAGCAATGCTTTTCATATTTCCTTCAGGTCTGATTTTAAGAGGACTTTTTTTCCCCAATTTTGTTAGAATCATCATTTCCCTTTCAGATCAACCCTACAAAGACAGCCCCACTATGGGGAGTACAACAATTTTGCACCTCAATTATTGCTTCTTACCTACCGAATTGTAAATTACTATTATCACTGACTATTGCAAAAAGAGACCTTTAAAAACGTTCTACACATTTGCTCCAAGTTTCCTCTTTGCCATTGCTTCCAGAGGTCTTAGAAAGTCCCCAAACTACCAAGACAGACTAACCTAGTCAACAAGGCAGGGATTCTGTGGGATTTTAGAAACAGACAATGCAATGTCACCACTGCTGAAAATAACGTGACACTCAAGTAACTACTACTGATAATCAAGGTAAGTTTTAGAGTATTTGAAGCTTTGTAATCAATCCATTTCATTTATATATGTATGTACATATGTATCTAAGCATTTATTCTTGCTTCCTTCCAAAAAAGAATTGGAAGTAGCTTACAGGCATGCATACTAAATGATTCAAAAGACATAAGGGTGGACAGATAAATGAAGTCAGGCATAAGCTTATTGCTCAAAACTGCATGCCATTAGAAATGGCTACAAATTTATTTCTAGCTTTCAGCAATTAAAGCAAAGATGGTGACTTTCAATCAATCAAGATATAATTATGCCTTTATAATTGTTTTAAGCAGTGAAAACACAGAAACACATTCAATTAAATCCAGAAGCTTCTGGTCTGTCATTTTCTACACCAGCAGAACAGCAACCTCACCATACTCTCCTCCTTCGTCTAATCACTGTGTGTTTAGACTAAGTTACTGCTACTAGTACCACCAGTGTTTATTTCTGCATTCACCCATGCTGTTACCCCTGTTTGGAGTACCAATGGTTCTCATCCAGGGGTGATTTGGCCCCACCGGGGACATTTGGCAATGTTTGGAGACATTTTTGATTGTCACAATCTTGGGGAATGGAGGGATACTGTCTTTTAGTTGGTAGAGACCAGAGATGCTGCTAAACATCATACAACGCACAGGACAGCCCCCATAATGAAGAATTATCTAGACAAACTATATAATACTGAGGCTGAAAACTCTACAGTAACTAATGGAGTGTATGTGTACGTGTGTGATTTTGTTTGACTACGATAGAAATCAGTCATTTTTCTGGTTTTAGAAAACACTAGCCTTAGTTTGTACTTCAACCTTCATTTCTCTGCTCTAGAAACCCATCTATCACATGAGCTTTCATAATCAACAGAGAAGGAAAAAATGAGTCCAAAGGTTTGTTCTGGATCCTGGATACAGTGACAAAGAAATTTCAAAATAGGAGGTCTTCAGGTTGTAGCTAAAGGACATCAGAATTAGCCTACCTGAATGCATTATGAAAATCTGGGCATTGCTTAAAAAAAATTGGAAGTCATCCCATCTTTTAACTCAGCCTGAACAAATAAACCTTGCCAAATGGAATGTGTTTTACAGCATTGATGGAAGAGCTGCTGGAGAGCAAGAGAGAGTCAACAGATGGAAAGAACACCGAAGGAAACTGAGAAATAGCCATCTCATGATATCATTCAGATTTGGACTGAGAACCACATGCCTGGGCTCTTTCCTGCGCTGACCTGCTGGATGCAGGTGCACAGAGTCAGTTGTCTCCCAGCTGCCCCTCCAGCTGGGCGGCTCTCTCCCTTGCCAATTGCCTATCTCAGTGACAGAAGTCATGGGCTCATTCACATGTTTCACACAACACAATATTTAATATGACCAGTTATAAACTTGGTTTGATTTCATCATGCCCATCCTTATATTCTTCTTTTTTTTTTCTGATAAGTCACCAGTATTCTGGATATGGCAAGGCTAGCCCATAGTGGATAAACTAATAATGGAATGCAGCTTTTCTCTCAACTATCTCAGTAATTACCTTCTTGATTCTTGTAACATAAAGTCAGGTAACTCAAGATTTAGGTTGTTTCTGTACAAGACTAGCCATATGTTTTTATTAAGTTGATAAGCAGTGGTTCTGGCTGACAGCAGTGGGATTGGCAGATGTAACCTATCTGTGCTCATGCAAATTGAAAGAGTTAGCTAGAAAATCTTAGGAGTTCCTTTGAAGTCTGTCTCTGCTTCAACTAAGAGCTACTTTCTAGGGAAATGCAAATATCTCCATTGACGTGGATACAGAGGAAAACTTCATCAATTTAGACTCTACTCTGTTCATCCAGAAAGGAATTCAGCTGGAAGCTGCCTCCAAACCATCCATAAACAAAGTTTCCTCAGAGGGCCTCTGGGAAGATGATTAAATGTAATCGTTTATACACATGTTTTGCGATCAACTGGTGTGTTAATCATAGTGAATTCTTCTTCCTGCATTAATTCCTGGACTCCGCTAACTTATACTTAGTTGGCCTCCTTCGAGTTATTTTGCGTACTGCATTATCTATAAAAACATTTCTTTTATTAAATCTACAATTTAATTTTCATTAATTCAACCAGCACTTTTATCTAGTGTATAATATATAATTGCTTAATAATTCTGTCTCAAAAAAAGTAATATATATGTGTATATATTACATATAATATATATAAAAGTTATATACATACGTGTATACATATGTATATAATGAATCTATATATCTATTGTCCAAAAAATGAGCCAGGATAACTCCTAGAAAAATATACTCTGATTTTAGACAAGTGGAATAAACAAACCTGTTCCGACATGAAAGCTGCTTTCAACTGTTATCAAGCCTGCTGCTCGAAGCCTGGCTGGCTCATAAAATACTTTCTAATAGATTTCATTGCTTTGGTAATCCTGCTTATCATACATGGGAACTAATTTGACAGCGACATTTTACTAATACTCCTCTTTCAATGAAACACTTCAGAAAGCTATCTCAAAACCATATGAGTTGGGGGAGGACTAAAATGTAATTTTCTAAGACATCGAGGCATATGTCTACATGTGTGGATGACATTAAATCTGTTGCTAGGCTCTGTGTGATTAGTAGTATAGTCTCAGACAGCTTTCAGAATAGGCCACGTTAGAGAGAACTCTCAAGAACTCAGTTAAAAATAGCAGGATGGCGAAACCATTGCCAGCCCAAGGACCTCTGGTTTTATCTTTGCCAACAGCCATTTTGGATGTGCCCAGGTGAAGTGGTGAAGAGGTAGGGGTGGGGGTGGGGGAGAGGAAGTTAAGTGCAGCTGTTTGGCTGTACAATGATAGCAGGAAAAGCCCTCCTAGCTTACGTATAATGTTCGGTTTTACCGGCTATCATTATCTTAGCAGCTCTGACTGTAAATGCTATTAGCAGGTAAAATGCACATTAACTTATCTGGTCCTTCTTAAAATCTCATCAGACCATTTATCTTCTAAATTTCTCAGAGCAAGAAATTCGGATGGAAACATCTACATTTGCCTCAACTGTGCTTTTGTGAAAGGATTACAATTCATTTAAAGTGTCTGTAGGGAGCTGGGATGATCCCATCCTATACCCATAGAAATGAAATGTGCGGAAAACTTACACCACCATTTTTCTTGTTGCACTATAAAATGCAAAACAAATATTAATAGCACAATTTCGAAGGAATGAACTTACTTTCAGTGCAAATAGGACAGCATCCTTTCCTGTTGAGAATTTTACCCTAATCAAGAGAAAAACAAATAAGGGTTTAATGTTAAGAAACAGGGTCTGCCGAGGACAAAACTCTTTTTTAAATCTAACACCAGATAAACCAATGAAATCAGTCCAAGCTGTATTTGAACTCAATGCCCAGATGGTGACGATAACAGTAAAAATGAAGTTTCAAGTATCAAGTTCTAAGGCCAGGCAAAGTCATTCAGAAAGCTTTCCCGTTTTTATCCTCTGAGAAATATAATAGCTAAAGGACTCATTGGTGTGATTTTTCTCACATGGAGGGAAGATGGAGACAGTCTGGATTCAACCTTTTCACTGATAGCCAAGCCTAGCCCTCTGGAGACCAAGTGCACACACATAAAAATGGGAATCATCTGTCAATCTACCAATCCAGGCAAGGCCTTCATTCCATCTTTGCCTGTTGGAGGAGCCCAAATAATAAACTGTAACCCAAGCCCAGGCCTATGGATATGGACACTATCTGTGCTACAGATCAAGTTCACCCAGATTTCTTATTTCAGAAAGTGGTATACTATCCAGGTTAAGCCATTGTTATGCAGTCAAAGCCAATGATGCTGACAGTTTTGAAATGCTGAGTAACTTTCCATTACCTATCTGGAAATATGGTGTAACCTCCTATATTGCATTTCTTCCAAGTTTTTTAATGCATCACACTTAAAGGAAGAAGCATATCAGAGAATGGCATTTTCTTATCTCTGACTCAGTGGGACTCACAGAGAAAAAGAAACAAACGTGGAAGAAGATTAATATTTAGGGAGCACTCGCTATGTAACAACCTACTAGATCTCATGTCATGTAACATCAGGTCAGTAGTAAGGATTTAAAAGTTAATACTTAGAATATATTAGAGTTTAATTAATATTATATATTACTATAGTCATTGTTATTAAGATTCACAAGAACCTTACAAGCTGACTATTTCCTTTTTTAGCGATGAAGAAACTGATGTTATGCAACACAAGGGTGGTAGAACCCAAAATCAAACCCAATTTTGTGTGACCCTAAAGGTGATGTTCTTTCCACTCCAGATTTTTATCCTCTTTCATTCTTTATGTTTAAGAGAATTTTATTGGGTATCTTCTATACATTAGAAAGAATGTTGTATGTTCTTCATACTTTATCTCATTTATGCTTCACAACACCCTCCAAATGCAGGTGTCCCTACCCCCTGTTTATAGGAAAATAAAGGGACAGAGACCCCAGATAGGTGGCCCAAGGTCAAGACCACACAGCTCATATACTGTGCATTTACTCATTCACTACCAGTCACTTGCATCAAGAATAGATTTAGGTACTCAAAAAAAATCATGGCTAAAAAAATGCTGGTTGATAATTAAAGAAATAGAACCACGTCTGACTCATTTTTGCATCAGCTAGACCTAAAATGGTACAAAGGCTAAGATGACTTTGAAAGAGGCTTAAAGCTCAGTCTCATTCAACCTTCCCATGGTTTTGGGCATCACGACATATTTTCATTGCCTCAAACTCTGTTATTTATTTCTGTTTGGCACAGAGGTCTCCTCTGGCTTCTCGTGACTGAAAGCAGTTGAGGACAAAGCCAGATGAGGTCAGCTCAGGCCGATGGAACAATGGGCAGAGTAAGGTGCTCTATCCGAATGGAGCAGAGCCTTTTAAAGCCAAGGCCTCAACTAAACATGACTATATGATCCCCTACGTCTGCACCTCGGTGGAAACTGCCATCTCCCCTCTTCGGGAAGTGAGAGTGGGGCTGGTGGTGTCACTAAATCAAACACAAGCTGTGAAGTCTGAGCTCCAGAGTGTCATGCAACTAGCTGTGGAACTCATATGTGACCTCGTCAGTAAGAAGAGCCTAGTAATAGCACCCACCTCAGAGGGGTGGTCCCAGCATTAAATGGGGTTAGCCTTCTGACTATAGAGAAAGTTTCAGTACATATTAGCGATGATGAGATGGCGGGGTTGTTAATGACCCCGTCCCCACAGGAACCCTCCTAGCGCTTCTCACAAAAGGTACCTCTTTGTTTCTGGGGGAGCTGCCAGGAGGGTGGACAGGGGATCCAACTGTAAAATCTTCTTTCCACAAGGCCCACATACTTTTGGAAAAAGAGATGTGTAGTAGCCAGGAAGGATAGAGCAGGCAATACAGTCTGCTTCTTCAAAAAAATTTTTTTTTAATTTCCTCAGGCAATGCAGGGGAGGGGAAGTAAGTTCTTAACAGGATTTCCACAGCAGAGCTAAGTTATCTTCCAAAGTCCTTGTGCTGGCCCCTGAGGAGGGAAAGTGTGAACCAGAGGAACATTGGAGAGACGCCTAGAAACAGAAAGGTGGCCCCTGAGGCAGGATGGGGCACTGACAAGCTCTAACAAGCCAGGGGGGAGGGGGCGGGGTGGGAGAAATGCCTGTGCCTGGAGGGAAGGAAGCTCCAGGCCCAAATATGGTCCATAAAGAAGAAATGCTAATGAGATACCAGTGACACAAAGAGCATTGACCTCCCCACAGCAAGAGGACAATGAAAACCATCAACCCTGCCACAAGTGGCAGGCCTCAAGGGAAGCTGGAAACCCCACCATGGCCTGCTGAGGCTCGTTACTCAAGCCACCAGGTTGGCACAGCATCCTGTTTTTGTCGTGTGGAATAAGGAAGCCCATTATTACTAACATGTGCTGCAAGAGTTCATTAGCACGGAAGGTTCCCCGAGGACTGGCATAAATGATGTGATCCCATCTTTCCCAATGAATATTTATAAGCAGACCATGTTCAAGTCTACTTAGTGTATCTCCCTTTTTTTCCTTCTTTTATGGGAGGTTTTCAGTTTTATGTCTGAGGCTTTTTAAAGCAAGACTAATTAGGTGTTTTTTTTTCCTTTTTTTCCTCCCCCCTTTATTCAATTGTGCAATAGCAACAGCTGTTGTTTTTTTGTGCCTCATTTGGCACTCAAGTAAAAACAGCAACTTTTTGTTTATAATAATAACAGATGTGAATAAAATTAAAAGCTGTGTATAACAGAGAAGGGAGGACATGTTCTGAATATATGGATATATTTTTTCATTCACTGGAAGGTAGTGAATAGGTTTGACATTTTCCCAAAACGCATAAAACCTTGAAAGGTTTCAAGTTGCTGAGGTGAATTCAATGAAGCTCATGCTTTAAAAGATAATGGTTGCTTTATTCAATGCCCTGGAACCGTGGGTTTCTGAAAAAGAGATATTTCCATAAGGAGGCTATTTCCATTTGGGGCTACAATGGAGGCCAGGGTTAGAGAGGGAAAACTTGTCTAAAGGGGTCAGGGATGCTGGTAGGCAGGAGCAACCCCGTGGGGAATTTATTAATAAACAGCCACATATTACTTTGAATGGCTAAAGGAAGAAAACTCTGATTTGAGGAGGGAAAGAGAAAGGAGGAAAATGCAAATGATGGTTATGATGTTCAACAGAAAACCCAGCAAAACAAGCAAAGGAGTTGGAGACGTTGAAACAAAGAACTGGGAGAAGTCAGTAAGAAAAAGGAGGGTGAGGACAAGAGCAAGATAAGAGCTATTTTCACACAAGGTTAGAAACTGAGTGGGAACTGCAAAAAAGGAGGAGCAGGATTTGCAAGGGGCATGTCGCTATTTGTGAACCTGGAAGCTTCAGGGGACCTGGATTCTGTGTTCAGAAGGTGGCTTGTGACCATGCCACACACGGGATGTTTCCCAAAATGCTAAAGTAAAGAGAAAGGCAGCCTGCATTCCAAACATACCTGAGGACAGCTGCTGATGGGAACACACTGCTTCTTGCGACACTCCGTCTTGCCTTTCACACAAGCACAGATGGTGCAGTTAACAGAGGACCACATCTCTCCATCCTACAGGAGAGAGCACAGGATTCTGCCATCAGCTGTAGGCTGATGGGAGCTAATCTACCAGGCTGGGATTTCTCTACCAAGAAAAACATTTCTTATCCTGAGTGAGGGATGCCATCATTAGACTAAACAACTCTGAGGTGTCCTATCCACACCTAACTGATTTAATGTAAGATTAGATTTGAGGCGGGGGTGTGTGTGCATATATGCGTGTGTGTTCCCCCTCCAGGATATAAAAAATATTCTTGCGCATCTAACCAAGTCATATTTGCATCTTCCTCCTCCTGCATTGTTTACTTTGTTCTGCCCTGGGAGACAAACATAAGTTTTCATATCTGATGCAATAGCAACTGCCTACTTTTTCAGTTTGATAGGACTGAACTGTTGAAGCTGTCTCAGGCACCAGCAATTAATTGAGATGTCCGGAGGTGGTTAGTTTATTCTAAGCAGATGTGACATGGTTCTGGACCACACAGGACACAAACATGCAAAGAACAGAGGCTAATTCAAATGACTCCCACTGCCCAGGCAGACACCTGATTAGCAAGCCATCTGAAAATATGGAGCCCAGGCAGAACACTCCAACAGCCATTTATACCATGTTCCTGCCTGTCCCATACTCACCTCTCAAAAAGCTGGGTAGCACTTTGAAACACGTTTTCTAGCCTAAAAAGGGCTGTTTGAGGAATTTCTTTGGCTCGTTGAATTTATAATCTGCAATTGACAAATGCCCAGCCACAAGAAGCCCTGTACCTCCGGAGAACATGCAGGGATGTGCATCTTTGCTTATGGGAAAAGAGATTGCAGGCAATAGAACTGGGATTGAAAACAAAACAAGGATTCCTTCCTGGGCTTGTGGATCTAAGCAACAAATTTTGTTAAAAACAGAAACTAGCTCAGCTCTTTGATAACTCTTCTTCTACCCCTTCCTTCTCATTTTTTGAAGCTTTTTAAGGACTACCTACTCTCTATTGCCTTTTATTTCTCAGGAGAGAAAGACCTAACTGATCCTGTTTCAAAGGCCATCTGACTATTCCAAATTCTCTCAGTGCACATTTCAAGAATAACCCTGGAGGCTGGCCCTGCAGCCTAGTGGTTAAGTTCGGCACACTCCACTATAGCAGCCCAGGTTCGTGGGTTCGGATCCTGCGTGTGGACCTACATCTCTCGTCAGCCATGCTGTGGCAGCAACCCACATACAAAATAGAGGAAGAGTGGCACAGATGTTAGTTCAGGGCGAATCTTCCTCAGTGGGGAAAAAAAAGAAGAACCCTCTGTAAATTACTTCAGGCTTCATTCACATAAAGGAAACTTTCTATAAGGAGTCCTTGAAAGTACTTTGCACACACCACCATCATGAGGGTGAGTCTACTGTATCGTCTGCTCTGGAGACAGAGGATGACTTTATGTAAAGAGAACATATGAGTGGCTCTGAAAGCCTGGTGTAAATGAAACACACATATGACCCCCTTCCCCTGGGCTTGACATATCGTGTCTTCTTACCAATTCGATAAGAACCAAGCCTCTCTCTCCAACTCTGTTGGTGTAATAGGAAGTCTGGCTAAGTGCAGCATGTCTGAGGAGCTTCCACATCTGACTTGACTCTGAGGGTCCCAATTCTCATGGGCATCATGAGATGACACCTTCGGGTACAGAGAGACTCCCCCCACCCCTGGGCACAAAAGACTAGATGGGAAACACCTTGGACAAATCCAGCTCCATCCTGACATTTAATGGTCACTGTACAACTTCCCACTCAGGCCATCAGAAAACAACATAAAACACACCTGAGATGTGTAGCAGATGACCAGCAGACAACCTGCTAGCCCAGCTGGGGCAGGGTTCTCTCACCATTGCTCAACTGCCATGCTGGCTACAGAGGCCATGAACATCCTCACCTGAACATCTTCCAAATGAGGAAATCGCTCTGTGAAAATGTAGCTTTGTGAAAAAGTTCTAAAATTATCAAGCTACAGGACCGTCAGGATTTTGGCAAGGGGCACTGAGCATCTTGGACTGAACGAGATGCTCCCAGGGATTCAGGCACCCATAGCTGCACCATCCAGGGGGACATCTTCAGTTCAACCCCAATCACCAGCCGACCACATTTGGAAAAGGCAACGATGTTTTATGGGTTTAAAATATTTTATAAAGCAAAAAAAAAAAAAAAACCCAAATAGAAACACTTTTGATACAGTTGCTTCTCTGCCCCTATATATACTGGTTCTAAATGTTTACGTATATATAATATTGTAACATAAATAAGTACATATAAATGTAATATATTTTTATAAAATATATTTATCTTGTATATGATATATATTATATAAATAATAATATATAAATATATATAAATACACACATGCACGCATATGTATACACAACATATGAATTACTCCAATCCACACTCTGTCTGGTGTTTTCTACAATTCAATATAATACAGTAGTTCCCATGAGCTTGGCTCATGACGTACCCGGAAAATCTTGTTGCCAAACTTGCACATTTTGATGTCTTCCGGCGGCACTCGTAGGAGGCACTCCTCACAACAGCCGTCCTCACCTTTGTCGCAGCCACCAGGGTGGGAGCACTTCCTCTTACACACTACGGTAGAGTCCTGGGGACCCAAAGGCAAACTGGAAATTAGAAACGATTCCCACCTCTACCAAACATCCCACCTGGCCTTCCTTTATCAACCCACGACTGACTGCTTTAGGACATATTCTGTAGATAGTATATTTTAATTTGTTGCAATCAATCTTTCATTCACTTCAAATTGTTATTTGTTGATTTAATATCTGGACTAGAAGATGAGGAAACTATGAACAGTGTGACATATGATCCCTACCTTCTAAGGGCTTATAATTTAATGCTCATGAGACTGATGATTCTGCTCCAGCCAGCGCGCGGCTAGAAAGCCCAGCTCACTCTGAGCCAGCCAGCTTCCTTCTTCCTGTTCCTCTTTTGCATCCTTCATTAACAGTGGTCTCTTGGGTCTGCTCCATGGCTTTGTGCCATCTTCCAGGAGTTTAGTGTAAAGGCAGGATATCTTTGATCAAAGAGCAAAAATTAAGAGCTAATGTTCCACCTCATGATGAAATTCCTTAGTATGTTCTGTGTTCACAAAGGAACTGAATGAGCAATTCCAAAACTGGACCTGGGTTCTAGGGCTCTTCCGTTAACCATGTGACCATAAACCGTAACCAGGCCACTTTACCTCCGAAGGTAACAAGTTCATATATGTAACTTAAAGGGGTACAGCTTGATTTCTAAAGAAGTGGTATTCCATGAACAAAACAGCCAAGTCAATTGTGCCTACTGATTCATTCAACAACACATTGGAGGAAAGTTCACAGCAGCTTAAGAAAAGTAAACTACTCTAGTTTCCCAGCCAACAAGATGCAGTTTCGCCTGGAGAACGCTGTCAGCTGGAATGACTGTAAGAGCAAAACATTCAGGAAACTTAGTGGAGACAGGGCTGGAGGGAAGCAGTGTCTCAGGGTAGACCAGCAAAGTGTCGAGTTAGTATGAGACCAACGGCAGCAGAATGAGACCAAATGAGATATAGACCCTTTGAGAGAGGACTCATTTCTGAGCATTACATACAAATAGGTTGTGCAAGTCAACCTATGTATCTTCTGTAGCTTCCATGTTACTTCTATGACTTCAAGAGGCACTTCTGATACCATCTACTATACTCCCTATACTATATATATATATATATACAGTACAGTATATACTATACTGACCTATTCAACTGAGATTAATACAATGAAATGATCCTTCAAAAAAATGGCATTTGTTATCCTTTATTGTTAAGCCTCTAACCACATCATCTAGTGGATAGGATTTAGAGTGGAACAAGACCAGGGAGGAATGGCAGTTTATTTATTAGGTGTGTTATCTTGTACAAATCCATCTCCCTGAGCCTCAGATTCCTCATCTTCAAAATGGAGATAACACCTACTTCTCAGGTTTATTGTGTAGTTTAAATGAAATATGTAAAGTACCTGGCACAGTGCCTGGCACATAGAAATTATTATAAATCAACTCATAAACTGGAAAAAATCCTTTGTCAAATTGCATGTCTTTATTTCTAGTTTGAGAAACAAGAGCATTCACCAGCTCTCAAATAAAGCATACTTCATGGTAGATCTCCCAAGTTTTACTAAATACACACACCCACACACACAGCACCCATTAGATCATCTGCCTGGCATAAGTTAAGCAATGAGAATACAGGGATGAGATGTGCTTCTGTCTTCAAATTGCTCACAGAGCAAGAGGAGAGATAATCATGTGAACAACTAAATTGCAATATAAGGCGGTAAACAGAGCTAGTAAAGGTGTAGAGGTAGCAGAGAAGAGGGAATAATTACCACTCTAGGAGGTCAGGCAAGCCTCACTAGAGGAGGTGACATCTGAGATAGGCTGTTGTGGATGAAGAGGAGTTTGCTAATAAAATTTCAAGAAGATGAAAACACTATAGGTAGAGGAATCATTAAATTTGAAGGCACAGAGATCTGCGACCATACTGTGTTCAGAGAACTATTAAACAGTATCCTGCACCTGCCGTGGCACTGGATGAGGACGCTGGAGAGGGAAGCTCTAAGCAGATAGAAAATAATGATTATTCAAAATGATTGCAGTCTGATTCTTCAAGCATCCAATTTCCCAAAGGTGACTGTGAACTCACACTCTGATAAAACAACCTCTGGAAGGGACAGTATTAATTACGCTTCTTTTGAGCACTGGAACATATTGCCTAATCTTCTCTCAAAGAATCCATGAGACCCAAAGCACGGCAAGCATAGCTAATTCCCATTCATGGGACGCCTGGCTTTCCTGTAATCAAGAGAATTGGGAATGCACTTGGGAATGCGATGTGTTTCGTCAAAGGCTCGGTGTCCCCAAGAGGAAGCTAAAACCTGTGAAATTCCTGGAGGGGGAGAGAGGTCCTGAGGACGGAGGCCAAGGCAAACAGAAGGAGTGGCTATATGTGTAGCATAGGATAACACAAACCACAGAAGAGAGGAAAGAGCCTCAGGAAAGTATTCTCAGGCTTAGGAACTCCTCGATGTTCAGTGCCAGGGAACAGACAGTTCAGCCCTTACTCAGCCACCTCCCTGAAGGAGTGCATGCTACTTAGCAAAGCATGCCTCAAGTAATCAGGAACTTCTGAACTCTAATCCCGGCTACTGACTCATAGCTGACATTGAGCAAAGCTCCTCTCTTTCCCTCTCTAGCCTTTTAGCTATTAAAAACAAAACAGCAACCATCACCAACAAAATATATTATTCTAAACTCGTGTCACACAGATGTTTGAGTTAGCTCACTAATGAATGATCCTAAAGTCCCCCATATAAATGATTCTCTTCTTGGTTTCAAAAATAAATCACCTCCTAAGTAGAGTCTATGAATGTGTGATGTGTATCCCTTTCAAATTCTGGAGCTGTGGAATTCTTTCCTTACCAGTCATTATACTTCTGGGTGCCTTTCAAGAAAAGTGAGCAATGCCTCAAGTAAGAAATGGTACGACGAACAAAACATAAATACTCTCTTCCCAAATTACCAGGTTTATCTTTGCGATGAACTGTAAATCCATGCCTTTCTTTTCTCTTGAATGTGATTAAAGCCATTTTTATTGCCACTTGTGTCAGAGAATTCATCTTGGATAATTAGAGCCAGGGAACACCACCATGTGTATTTGTCCAATTCTAGAAAGTGGCTCAGGACAGCCCTTCACAGTTCACTTCTCACCACCAGGAGCTAACTAGTTGGCCCTAAGAAGATGACAGTGAGTTGCAATTTGGCTCCTATGTTTGAACTTCCTTGTGACTTTGAGTATGATTTCCCTCACAAGATGGCATCAATAACGCCTCCTCTTGATAAGTGACTTGTCATCACGTTTGACTATAATGTTAACACTAAAACCCAAAACATGATCACTGTTGGACCACAGCCACTCAGAACCACCTTACCCTGCAGGTGCACACAGTGCAGTTATCGTAGAGAAATGAGGATCCATTGTCATAAACGTCACTGCGAAAGAGGCAGCTTCCAAATGGAAGGTCAAACACTTTCCTCTGACCTAGAGGGGAGCAATGGGAGAGTGTAAGAAGCCAGGGATGGCTCACTTTGTCATCAGCAATTGCATCATGGAACTGTTAAACATTCTCACAAGACCAGGTAAAGCTGGTGCACAAAAATAGAGCCTTGTGTCATATGTTCCCATGGGATCCCCAGGAGTCATTAATTTAGAGAGCTTTTGTAAAAAAGAGTTTGAGTCCACACTGAATCTTGTAAATTCAACACATCTTTATTATTTGTCCATCACAGTGACCTAAGATGACTTAGACATAGACCCGTACTCATGGAGCTCACAGTCTAATGGGGAAACAAACCCACAAAAGATGATCTTAATACGACAATATGGTAAGATCTAGAAAGAAGCCAGTCCGGGAGCTATGGGAACAGGGAGGACAGACAAGACTTCTTGGAAGATGTGATGCCTGAGCCGCATCTTAAAGAACAAGTAAAATTATCCAGAAGGTAGGTATTAGCAAGGAGGAGGCAGGAAAAGCCAAGAAATACCAAGAAGGGCTAGAATGAGCAAAAAGAAGAACTAATGACGTAACATTTCAGTTGAAGAAATTCCAAGCCCATTGTCATGAAGGGTGAAGCCAACTCAAAGGGCGCATAGGGGCAGAATCCAGCTCCACATGCCAAGTATCCACACTTTCATAGGCATCACATCTCTGTAGAATTAGCTTGGTTTTCCCTGATGTGAGGATTTGATTGATGACCAAAAGGTCCCAAAAAAGCAACCCCAAAAAAGGAGTACAATTCAATTTCTTCCTTTCTTTCAGTATTTGAGTTTCTACTTTCTGAAGCACATAAAAACATCCTTGAAATGCTACTTTAATTAAGAACTAAGTTAAGGGGCTGGCCCGGTGGTGCAGCGGTTAAGTGCGCATGTTCTGCTTCGGCAGCCCGGGGTTCTCCGGTTCAGATCCCGGGTGTTGACAAGGCGCCACTTGGCAAGCCATGCCGTGGCATGCATCCCACATATAAAGCAGAGGAAGACGGGCACGATGTTAGCTCAGGGCCAGTCTTCCTCAGCAAAAAGAGGAGGATTGGCAGCAGATGTTAACTCAGGGCTGATCTTCCTCAAAAAAAAAAAGAACTTAAAGATTGGCGCCTGAGCTAACATCTGTTGCCAATCTTCTTTTTTTCTTCTCCCCAAAGCCCCTCAGTACATAGCTGTATATTCTATTTGTAGATCCTTCTGGCTCTGCCATGTGGGACATGGTCTCAGCATGGCCTGATGAGCAGTGCTAGGTCCGTAGCCAGGATCCAAACCTGCGAAATCCCAGGCCACCAAAGCAGAGCACACAAACTTAACCACTCAGCCATGGGGCTGGCCCCAGAAGTCAAAAACTGATGGTCACTTCCCAGATTTATAGTCATACTCTTTCTTCTTGTAAATGATTAAAAGCAATCTCTATTTATCAGGAGACACAATGAAATGCTGAAAACACCTATAAACATATACGAAATGTTATTCTTAGAATTGTTGGAATGACAGTAAGAATTTAAAAAAGTGCTATCGTCCTATCAGAGTCAACTTCAAGGCTAGGATACAGTATAGACAAAGAATTAAATCATTAGTTTGGTTCTCACCACCAGAAGCACACTCGCCTCAAAAGATGGCAGTGAGTTATCATTTGGGTCTCATGGATGAATTCCCTGATGACCTTGTATATGATTTCTCCAGGCCTGTCTTAGTTCACTTGCAAAATGGTATCAATAATGCCTCCTCCCAATAACACGCTACCATCTCTATCTACAATGTTGATATTGAAGTAGGCAACCACAAACTCTTTCACGATTAGATAAAAGTTAGCATAATGACTGTTTTTGCACCCAGCAAGTATTAATATCTCAACTAAGAAAGGTATTCTTATGTGTACACCCAGGTCCTGAGTCTCTTGAAGTTCCTGAGAATTTATAGAGTAAATTAGAGAATTATGCGCAAAATACAAAATTCATCCTTTCTTTAGATTTTCTTCTAAGGAACCCCCTAGGATCACCCTGAAGAATCAGAAAGCTGTGGGCAGGTCACCCACCCCATCAGAATCACTTCAGTCACATCACACCTTAGTTTTAGGGTATTCTAGTATAAGAAATATCTCTAAGCAGATCTTTGTGTGTGTGTGTATTTACTAAAAAAATGATGTTGATGTCCTTTTTCACTGCTTTAAACACTTTCCTCTATATTAATCAGGGGTACATTCCTGTCCTTTAAGAATTAAAAATAACTCTGCTTCAATTGAGCAATTCTTTACAACTTATGATAACCTGGTTTGTCTTTTTCTTATCTTTTAGCTACATGTGCTTCATGTATTTTGTAAGTAGCCTTAAAACATTTTTGGCAAAAATCAGGATATAAATAAATATATAGATATAATCAAGCTTCCTTCTCCACTAATCAAAATACATCTTCTTCATGGCCGACTTCCATACCGCCTCTTCAGAGACCCTTTCACTGCTTAGAATGAACTTCAGAGGCCCTTTCACTGTGTTCCTGTAGTTTCTTGCTTTTACTACAATTACAGTTCTCAATATTGTTGCATAGATAGAAGGATGGATGGATGCGTTGGTGGATTGATGTATCAGTAGATTGCATCAATCTACTCACCAAAAGACTTGTCAATGAGTTTATCCCCCTGAACAAATGTGACCAATGGCTTAAATTATCCCTCAATAAAATGAAAATTTTACCTAAAAATATTGATGTACAGCTCTTAGCACAGAGATCAGCACTTATTAAACATCCCTAATAAGTGGCAGGTGAAAAGTATTATCATTATTAGTGGTGGTATAATTCAAATATGATCCTGGGCTGTGTCACTCCGAGAGGGAAATGGGGTGCTCTGCGTATACAAACCTGTGAGGAGGCTCTTCATTGAAAATGAGAAGAGACAGGAAGAGAACAGTGTAACGTAAAAGGTACAAGAATGTTATGTAAATGAATTCTGGTCAAGGGAAAACAACAGCAAATCAGCATCCAACTAGTCAAAAGTCTAATTGGTCTAAGAGTTCAACATCTAGAAAGCATCCTAGTGTTTTCTTTTTTTCCTTTCTGTCTTTTGTTATGTGGGTATGTTTCTTTTTACCCCATCACAGCCCAAAATAAGATAAAACATTCAAAAGAATGGTTCAGAGACTCCGTGTACAGCCTGATTTAAGCTATTTCCACATTATTTCCCTGGGGTTTAGCCCAACCAAAAAAGGTCTCATTTGGGAGCATTATGATTTTCAAGTTTCCTAAGACTTGCTATTCCTTTTTAGTCTGACTTATGACCACAAATGGACAGAAAAATCTGCATTCAATACAATAGTCATTGCTCATATGAGAAACTTCTGAGCTGACTCAGCACATCTACGGTACCAGCTTCAAAACATTCATCAAGCCCACTTATCTTCAAAGCCAGGCCCTAAATGCCACCTTCTCTGTGATGACTTCCCTGATTACATGGAATGCTACTTCCACCGGGACCCATAGCACGATGATTTCGCCCACAGTGAACTGGCAAATTCTATTCCAGCAGTACAAGCACGCATTGGCAGAACAGGAAGCACACACATCAGTGGAAATGTCTTTAGTCAGGCACATCTAAACAATCCTCCTTTCCTCTTATAATTACTTCATATTTAATCAAAAAGTATCTGTGTGTGTGGGTGTGTATAAATGTGTGTGTATGTGTATGTACATGTAGCAAGAAGGCAAACATTGTTAGACAAAGAAATAGCAATAGAATTCCTCAAAGAGAAGAAAACTGCCTTAGTTTAACAAGATACCTTTATGTGCCAATTGGGTTGTAGAAAGATAGACTTCAGGGAGTGGCTGTGATAAGCTGGGAATGAGAAAAATAAATCAACAAGATTTCTTGGATTTGGGGAAAGCGAATTATGAAAGAAAGGACAGAAGATTCAAGGAAAGAGTGTGGACAATAACTGATAGGAGAGGCTAGAGCTCAAACAAAAGAGACAAACAGTTAAAGTTTCCTAAACGTGATTCCATTTTAGCTCATTCACCATGCTTCTCTATAAAGTAATCACCCTCAGTTACTGCAAATCTTCAGTAAAATCTGCGACATAAGCCTTGATTCAATAGCACCATAGGAAGTGAAAAGACTGGATGGGTGGTGTGTCTGAAAGGACAAAATGACGTTGAAGAAGAAGAAGAGGAGAGGAGGAGGAAGAGGAAAGGAACAAAGAGAGAAAAACAGCAGGTGCAGAAACACAAAGCCGGGGGGACTAGGAAAAATATTAGCCCCCTCAAGGATCTCTGTAGATTCTAGTGAGGTTGCTGGGTGTTCTGTTGTATTCAAATGATGGGTGAAGCTACTTTGATTTGAATCATAACTAGTTGGACCTCAACTAACTCAAGGGCCTAGGGATCATATGGAAGAAGCTGACATATGGATTATAAAAAAATGCCAAGGAACCTCATGCTCTGCAGACTCGCCATCATCAGTTGTCTCCTTTCAGTTGACAACACACACGCTGCTGTCCACGTCCCTGGGGAAGCTGAGCTGCAGCAGGTTAGAGGATGGGCTGAGGAATCAGAGACTTGTGCTCAAGTATCAACGCCATAACTCACTAGCTGAGTCACCTACTAAGAATTTACTTCCTTCTCAGTACAACAAAACTAATGAGTACCTATATTATGCATTGGAATTATCTAGTACATTTAGTACCTATATGTCACAGCGTCTTGATAAATTAAGTAAGAAAAAGCATAATAAAGTGTTTTATATGGTGCCTCGTACATAGTAAATACTCAAGAAGAAATAGCTAACACTCCCTTTTTTGGCTATTATTCATTGCTCCCTTCCAAACCTCTCGTTTTGGGCATGTTATCCTCCTGCATGCTTTTGCCTCTAAAAGTAACACTTGTCTATACTCCTGTGTGTGTTTACTTCAAATGCCTTTAAAATACATTCCTTCTTATCATTGTATGTCCAATTAAAGACAGTTTCTTCAGTACTGTTCTCCCCACAAGGACATATTATTCCAGGTTGTCCAGTGTACTAGGTTTACAGATATAAGGGAAGACAAGACAGAAGAAACCTCTGAGGAGGCATCAGCAGAGAGACAAACCCTGTGTACACCTTATGTTCTTGTAATTAGAAGTAATATTTTCTCTAAGAAGCCACGTGACAGGACAATCTTGAGAACTCCAAGATAAATAATGTAGATGAAGACTCAGCAGAAAACACTGAAAATCAATTACATTGTTCTTTGACCTGAAAACAGTCACTCACCCAAACACTTGGGGCAGCACTGTCCTGGGGGGATGTGGCTAAGGTGCTGAGGACAGGAGAGAATGGGACAGACTTCTCGCACGCACTGTGTCCTGCCTCCCTGAAGAAAAGAGAGAGAAAGAAAAAGCACATTTAGAAAAGCAAGTGCATAGATATTATATAATCAAGACATCTGGAACAAACCTAGGGCCTTCCCTGCTATTAGGTCCCTGGGGTGACTGCTCAGATCCATGTAATTTCTCCCAAGGATCCTTTTATTTTCCCTGTAGGCCACACAAATTGTACCTGCAAAAAGCCTGCCCCTAAAGAGATGATTACAACATCACCTCTCCACACTTGTCACCACCTTTCTTTATCTTTTTCCTTCTCAAGACCAGCCAACTATCTCAGTTTTCCTGGGATTTGTGGCTTTCAGGACTAAAACCAGAGAAGTCTCAGGCAAACCAGGACAAGCGGGCTTCCTTTCTAACCCCAAAGCAAGCAAAGGAACCCTTTGTGTTTCCTGAGACTTTTCCTCCTCTTTCAGACCCCCATCTTTCTGCAGGTCCTGCAGACATCTTCCTCCAGGAAGGCTTCCCTTTCTGCCACAGTTTGAAGGTGTGCTGGGATGGCTCCATGAGGTTCAGATTAGAGGAAGCAGCCAATCTGCTGAAAATGGAGGCACTAAAAGCCTATGTTCAGCAGAACAATTTCACTGAATACACCAAGCTAACCAAATCTGTATCCTTAACTGAGTAGAAGGTATATGATGATTGATATTAGAAGGACTAGCAGAGCCTCAGTGGCCCATGGGAGAAGTTCTAGAACCTTCAATAATCTTCCCTGTTCCTCATTCTCCACGCTTTCTGTCCTCCAGCACCCATTGCCTCTGACACCCATTCCTTCCTTCTTGACCTCAGCATCCTTCCCCCGGTTCTGCCTGTCAGCCTCTCTCTCCTCTCTAGAATGAGAAGATGCGGTATGCCGAACTCCTCCTCCTCTATCCCTCAGCAGTGGTGCCTCTTCTTCCAGCCTCAGCAATTTGTAACTGAATCTTCAGAAAGTTGGGTGAGAAAAACAAAAAGTACTTTCTAGTCAATTTATGTCCAACAACTTTGCAAGGCTCATATGAAAACTATTCTGTGCAATATGAATTGCTATCAAATTTGTGAATAATTTAAGGTTTTACTTTTTAGAAAATCAGTAAATTTGGTAAATAGATCACTAGGCAAAAGAAATTTCAATGGATTGGCTTCTCTGGGATTTGAGCTAGAAAACCAACCAGTGGATGTTCAAGTACCTGTTGTCTCAAGCTGGTACTTTATATCTCAAGAGACCTCAGAAAATGAGGAAGTCACACCTCCAAGAGCCCTGGGCCTGGCAAGAGGTAGATTCCCTCACAGCATTTCCTCACACCTTCTCCACCACTTTCTGCATTAACACCGGACACCAGTCGTCTGGATCATATCCATTCCCATCCCAGCAAACTACCGTCACCTGTTGTTTCTGCTTTCCTTCCTGTTCTTGCCATATTTATTATTATAGTTTATTTTTTGGTAGAGATGGATGAAAAGAGTAGGGCACATTATGTCTTTTTAAATATTTATTGTTTTTAAGCCACTTTACTGTTGGATTCTTCCCCAAACCAATAGAGAACATGTGAAAATACCACAAAAAGCTCTTCTGTTGTTTTTACATTATTTCCAGATCAGCAAGAATCACTCAAAATCTCCTAAGAATCCTTGGCTGTTCTCTGTGAGGTTCCTCACTCAACTCTCAACTCTGCGGAATCCTAAAGTCTGGCCTTTCACCAGACTTCAGAGGCACATAACGTGAGTCTAGGTCAGACTCTGAGGTCTTCCCCAGCTTATACATAAACCACAGAAGTCAAATCTAGAGGGAGGGCATATGCCGCCCTGAGCTATTCATTTCAAAGAAATTCATCTGCAAGCAACTTCCCAAAGTCCTGAAGCTTCAGGCCACATGAGGCTGCCTGTGTGTTGGCTTCCCTTAGGTGCACAGAGAACACATTCTTTTCATCGATAGTCTCTGTTCTTGTTGGATCAGCATCTATTTTTCAAGCATATTTTAAAATTCAAGTTTTTTTTAAAAGTATTGCATAATTGCATAGGACTTAGCTTGTCCAACACTTTGGAAAGCTGGCAAAAGATTATGTGTATTCCAGTCATTTTCCTTACCATAAGGTCAAGGAGCGAATTTTGCATACATAATACAACTGCAGTTTGTGCTTCCCAGGAGTCCGCTAAAGTAACTTGAACTCCAATCTGGGTTTGCTGGTTTAGCTGAGTTGTGTTTTGTTTGGGTTGCAGGATTGTGGCAGAGCCCAAGGCCTGAGGCTGCATTCCAATTAATGCCTCCAAAGAAAGTCCCAGGGCCTTTCGGCTCACAACCTGCTCTATGATTTCAATTCAGCAGGGACTCTGGTTAAACCATAAGCTGTGTCTATGCTGTAAACTAAGAAAGTTAAAATAGCAGAAGGAAACATTTCTCTTTCTAAAAATGCACTAATTCCTACTGTAACGACACTAACTCAGGCTCTATCGGATTATCACAATCCCTTTCTAACTAGCTTCCCTGCGTCGAGTCTTTTCCACTAATCCATCCTGGAAGGTTCAATATGTCCAGGACTCCTTCCCAACATCCAGCCATCATTTCATTATTTGATCAAATATTTGTTTAAGGCCTACCATATGCTTGGGATACAGCAGTGAATATAACATACAAAAATTACTCTCTTCATGGAGGAATTTATAGATTTATGGAGGGAACATCAAGAACTCCGCTAAAAATAGAAAAAGCCTGCTTCCCTGAGTCACCATATGGAAATACACCCACCAAACACCTGCAATGAATGGTTAGATGAGCAAGAAATATATTTTGTTGCATTGAAACACTCAGGTGCATTAGTTCTTTATTTCCACAGTTAGCCTGCTTTGTCAAGATACCCCGTAATTTTCTCTCCAATTTTCTTTCCTGCCAATTCTAACATAGAGAAGCTTCCAATGTATCTTATTTATTTGTTGTCCCCAAGTACATCTTATGCCCGCCATCTTCTTTATACATCCCTCTTTCCCTCTCTCCCCCCATCCCTGACTCTTCTCGAAATCCTGCCTCATTCAAGGTCTATCTTAAGCCTCTTCTCATCTGTGAGGCCCTCTAAATCCCTTCATTCCTCAGTAACCCCTTCCATCTTCCCATATCTCTTCTTTTCACATCTGTTCTCCTGTATTTTTGACACATACAGAAAAGTTTAACCCTCCAAGTTAGACTGTCGTGGGGGCAGGGACCAGTTCTTTGAGTCTAATATCCAAGAGCGTGATGGACTCAAGGAAACATCTCGGTAAAAATGTGCTGAAGGAAAGGAAGAGCCACCACACACAATGAGCGCTAGAATCCGGAGGAATTTTTCAGACTGCTCTAACTACAGGATGCTGAGGAGATGGCACAACTCAGGGCTGTCTGCATCTGCTTATCTTTGTATCTCAATGGGTTTTGGACATTTTAGGTACTAACTAAATGTTTGTTGGTGCTGACATTCCAAAAAGCAACACTCAACTTCAACCTACAAACCTAGTAAAATCCCTAGGATCCGGGTATTTTGTTAAATGTTTGAAAATTTCAAAATATTTAAAATACATGGAAACTAATGACTATATTCTCAACAAGGAAAGGAATGCTAGGAACTTCCATAGCACTGGTGAGTTATGATTTTCACCGTTAGCCTTTCCTTGGAAAGGTAAGCTTGCTCTTTAGAGATGTTCATTTGTCCTACTTGCATATCCAAGTGCTTCTCTGAAAGTAGCTGAAAGGAAGACATGAAACTTGTCCCAGGTCTATCTTCTGTCCCCTTGATGTTTTTATTTCAGCTGATTCAGTCAAGAATACAAATACTTTCTGTCAAAGTTTACCCTAGAGCAGCAGTTTTGTTGCATAATAAAAATCTATCTTTTTAACTATAGTGCTGAGCACAAGATGATAAAACCACAGTCATGTGCATGCAGGATGCTTCTCCCATCCCTGAGGACTACTGAGAATTGGGGCCTGGAAACCACCTGTAGCATGCAACATGGTGCTCATTCCTTGACCAGGATGCGGAGCCTGGCTCCCTAACAGGAGGTGGGAAGCAGAGCAGTGTATTTGTAACCAGTCACAACCAATCAGCTACACTCAACCACATTCTGGAGCCATTGTTTTTCCACTGTTCAATTCTCTGAAGAGAATGGAGTTCTCCATTGATTCTAGATGAAGGTAGGAACAGGGGAAGAGAAAAACTGGAGGGGCTAGTGTAGGGGAGAAATACATCTTGAGTACAAAGAATTTATGTGTAACTCATAACTCTTACATCACAACAACCAGTGGTGCAAAGCTGATTTGTGAGCAGAGCAGCCACTCTGAATTACAAATTGAGTCAAAAAACTTCAGAAAAAACGCGTCTTTAGCCATGCCTCTCTTTGACTTGGAAACGCATTTTGGTAAAGTTCCAGAGCATGACAGTTACTTCCGGGGGTAAAGGTCTTGGCACTTGGCTTCCCCCATTGTTGACCAGTGCAGAACAGGAAATCAAAGCAGAGAAGGGGCAGCAGGTGGGCTGTCAGTCTGTGGAAGGAGAGTAGACAAAGGGAGAGAGGACATCCAAATTATGGTGGGTGGTGAGCCCACTGAGAGAGAGAGAATGAGAGAGTGAGGGAAAGGTACACACGGACACACATACACACACACACTACATTGGCACATGTGTACTACGTTGGCACATTTGTATATTCTAGCATGGTATAATAATTTGTGTGTGTGTTTGTGAGACTGACTTGCTAGATTAGGGCTTTTCAGCTTTGGCACTACTGACATTTGGGGTTAGGTAAGTCTTTGTTTTAAGGGGCCATCTTGCCCATTGTAAGATATGTAGCAGTATCCCTGGCCTCTATCCACTAGATGCCAGTATCACCCTTCATTCCCTGGTTAGAACAAATGGAAATGTCTCCAGATATTGCCAAATGTCCATGGGGAACAAAATCACTCTAGTGCAATGAGAACCATTGCACTAGACCAATGTTTTCTCAAGGCACTGTCCAGGAACTGCATTTTTAATGACTTTCCCAGATG